ATAGCAAAAACAAAAAAATAAAACAAAGCAAAAAAACAAAAAACAAAAAACAAAAAACTGAATGCAAGGTACCAGGAGCTTGCAAAATCATTAGAAAGCCAAAAGGCATTCTTTAGCAGACCCTGAGTCATGACTCCTAATACAAGTCTCCAGGGGAGCTGCTACCTCTGCAGTAATTAGGCAAGCAGGCAGGGACTGGCAGACATGAGGCTGTTGAGGTCAAGGACATACTCCAAGGATAATGGAGTCAGCTGCTGTCCTCTATCCACCATCCAACACCCACAGAGCTAGTTCCTAGACACTGCAGTGAAGTCCAATGTGTCCCACCTACGTCTGCCAGCAGAAACAAAACAGATGGCAGCGACCTGGGTTCTACTTCCAAGTACATCAGAACTCTACCTGAAGATGGGAGACGTGGCTCCTCCAAGAAAGCACACTAGATGATTGGAATGAATGCTGGCAGCCAGGGTCAGTTCAGAGCACAAACTGGGTTGTAGCTTAATGCTCTTTTCATCTGTGACTAGTCCTTTATCCTTTTGAGAAAGGCCCCCTCATACTCCCTTTCCTCCTGCCAACTTTTACTGAATTGGATGCCCTTCGGTGAACTTCTGAAGCTCTGACTCCAGCCCTTCCATGTGCCTGTCATTCACTCACATCAGAGCCTTGGTTCCTGCTCTCCCACAAGAGTTGCTTCCTGACCAGGGCAAGCTTGAAAAAAGCTCAGTCATATTCATAGTATAGGTAATTGGTATATGTTGCGAATTCAATAGTTCTGATATTACAACCTCCCTGTGCTGGCTAGTTATATGTCAATTTGTATGTCAACGTCCTAAGTTAAAATCATCAGAAAAGAGGGAGCCTCAATTAAGAAAATACCTCCAGAAGATCAGTCTGTACAAAGGTCTATAAGACATTTTCTTAATTAGTGATTGTTGTGGATGGGCCAAGTACATTTGGTTTGTTTGTTTGTTTGTTTGTTTGGGTTTTTTGGGGGGGGTTCGAGACAGGGTTTCTCTGTGTAGCTTTGGAGCCTATCCTGGCACTTGCTCTGGAGACCAGGCTGGCCTCGAACTCACAGAGATCCACCTGCCTCTACCTCCCGAGTGCTGGGATTAAAGGCGTGTGCCACCAGTAAGCAGCACCCCTCCAGGGCCTCTGCATCAGCTCCTGACTCCAGGTTCCTGCCCTGTTTGAGTTCCTGTCCTGACTTCCTTCATGATAAACTGTGATGTGGAAATATAAGCAAAACAAACCCTTTCCTGCCCAAGTTGCTTTTATGACAGCAACAGTAACCCTACCTAGGACAGTATCTGTGGTCTGTCACTAGCTCTGTCAGGGTCACTTTGTGACCCTGGAGAAACTGCTAAGCCTTCTAGGTTCATCTTCTCCTTAGAGGACAACCCTTAGCTCTGTGAAATCAAATTCATTTTGTTGCATAATTATTACTAAATTATAGGAATCCTAAATTCTAAATTCTAAGTTCCTATAGTAACCACTTTAAAATGAATGTTAGCAAACTAAGTAATACTTTCACAAAGGCATTTTTATTCATTAATGGCATTGCTCTTTGATCTGTTTCACCCTGTTTCCAAACTGTCATCCTCTAACTCCCACTTCCCTCCCCACCCTTTGCCGGTCCCCTTCTTGCCCTTAAGGGTCCCTCCTTCTGCTGTCATGTCACTTGTATTCCAGGGCTCCTCCCCAATCCTAAGATAACTTTCTCCCCTCCCAAGGGCCCCTTTCCATGACCCACATCCATTTTCCTGAAATTTTATAATTTCATTTTTCTCCATGGCTATATCCATATACATACAGTAACATTCTTTGCCTGTTTCCATCTGTTGATGGATAGATAACTCAGCAGATTCCATTTTTAGCTATTATGAATAGCACAACAATCAGCACCTTTGTGTGTGTATCTCTGGGGTATTGACTGAGAGTCCTTTGGTATATACTGTTTTTATTTCCTTTAGGAACCTCATGCTGACTTCCATGTGACTACAGCAGTTTACACTCTCATGAGCAGGAGCTAAGGGCTCTTTGCTCCCCCTTTGTCTTTTTTGTCATAGCCACTCTGACTGGGATGAAAGAAAAATCTCAATGTTTAAATTAAATGTTAAACATTTTTCAAGTATTTATTAAATATTTTTCTTTGAGACCTATTCTGTGAAAGGCCCTTTGGTTGGTTGGATGGTCTGTTGGTTTTCTTTGTGTGTTTGTTTTTAATTTTGGTGTTCTTTATATAGTTTAGATATTATCCCTTTTCTGATATATAGTCGATAAAGGTTTTATCCCATCGCCTAGGCCATCTCTTCACTCTGGTGATTGTTTTTTTTAGCTGTAAAGAGGATTCTTAATTTTTTTTTATTAAGGCAGTTTGTTTTTGTCAGTTCCTGGAGGTGTTTTCCGTACTGTCGGGATTGTTTCCAGAAAGTCCTGCCTATGCCTATTTTGAAGAACTTCCTTGCCTTTATATTTTCCTCCTGTGGTTTGAGTTCCGAGTCTTTTTTGTTTTGTCATTTTGACACAGGGTTTCTCTGTGTAATAGCCCTGGCTGTCCTGGAACTCACTCTGTAGACCAGGCTGGCCTTGTACTCACAGCCTGCTTCTGCCTTCCGAGTGCCGGGATTAAAGTCATACGTCACCACCGCTCCTCACGACTTCCAAGTCTTAAAGTAAGATCTTTAACTTTAGAGTTATGTTCTATTTCATTCCTCTCCCTGTGGAAAATCCGGCTTCCCGGCACCATTTTTTGACAAGACTATCTTTCTTCCAATGCATGTCGTTTTGATAATTGTGTCAAAAATCAGGAGGCTGTGCCTGTGAGGGTTTATTTCTGGGCCACCTATTCTATGCCATTGTTATACATTCTGTAGTATGTGAGTTTTGTCTTGGTTTGTTTGTTTTATTTTTTAGATAAGGTCTCTGTAGTCTAGATTGGCCTAAAACGAAGTGGCCCAGTCTTCATTTTTTCCTCATGGCAATTCTCCTGCCTCAGCTGCCCACATGCTAGAATTACAAGTGTCTGCCAACATGCTTGGCAGATAGTTTTCTCATGTCTTCCGTGGTACTTGGTCTAGTACTCTGTGTAGGGTATAGCCAGCTCACGGTGTGTGCATGTCAGTATATAGGCATACATGGACATCTGGCCAAGGAGAAATATTTTTCTTCACAAGACGCTGTGCTTTTTGTCATGTTACCTTCCTTTGGGGAAAACAAACAAAACACTCACATGTGCATTAGGGTCAGCACCAAGAAACCAGCACTAGCCAAGTCCTTCAGTCCCATGGTCACAGATACAGGTTTATCTTTAAAGCCCGAGGAGTTACTACTGTAACCAAAGACAAAAAGGCTTCTTGGGTGAAAAGTATGCCAAGAGCATGTAAAGGGGCCTCAGCCTGTAGAGACAGATACAGTGGGGAGTTTCCTGCAGAGAGCTGGTTCTTGTCCTCATCCAAGCTCCTCCAGAGCAGTCAGAGAGTCCCCCAAATTATTCCAAACTGTCATAAATCTGAGGAGGTGCTCAATAGTTGACAAGCCCCGGACCATGCAGGGCCAGTGTCCACATGCTCTAAGTCCAATTTGTCAAGGACATGAATGCAGAGTATTGCACAGGCCACGGACTGGACATAAGAGTCACCATGCTTTTGTGCTTCTAATGTAGCTCTCAGTGACAGAGAGTTTGCTTAGCAGCAGGGACAGCCTCGAGCTCAATCCACATCTCTCCATAACAATGCAATAAAAGAGCCACTTTTCTTTTCTGTAAAAGATATATAGATATATAACACAGGGAGGTCTGTAACCTGTTCAGACGTGCATCTTTGCATTTCGTAGTAACTATCACCATGGTAGCAAGGCAGTTTGACAAAGATACCTTCCCAGCACAGAAGATACAAAATAGAGAAATTAACAGCCAACCATGAACTGTCTTATACCTTTATCTAATTATACTGGTCTTATATCCTTAGCTGTTATTCTCTAACACTCCTCCTTATATCACTGAGAACAGGGAGAGTCATCTGAGAAAATCTTGGCTGCTAAAAATGGCTAAAAAAAGAAAAAAAAAAAAAGCCGGGTGTTGGTGGCACACGCCTTTAATCCCAGCACTCAGGAGGCAGAGGCAAGCAGATCTCTGAGAGTTTGAGGCCACCCTGGTCTACAGAGTGAGTGCCAGGATAGGCTCCAAAGCTACACAGAGAAACCCTGTCTCAAAAAAAAGTAATAATAATAATAAAATAAAAATGGCTCCTGGTTGTGTAATATTACTTTAATGATGTAAAGGTGTGCTACATTTGTTTATGTTGCAAAATATTACTTTATGTAAAGGTGTGTTACATTTGACTATGCTGACTTTGTTTAATTACGTAAAGATGTGTTGCTGTTCCACCTTGCCTGCCCAAGGCACCTGATAGGTCTAATAAAAAGCTGAACACTCAATAGCTCGGCAGAGGAGGGACAGACAGGACTGGTGGGCAGAGAGAATAAATAAATAGGAAAAGGATTTTAAGCTCAAGAGAGAGGAGGGAATCAGAGAGAAAGAGAGGGAGATGCCCAGGCCATTCAGGCAGCCACCAGACAGACAGACAGACAGACATGGAGGAAACAGGAAAAGCAGGACATAAAGAATAAATGAAAGGTAAAAAGCCCAAAGAAAAACATAGATGAAAAGAAATGGATTAAATTAAATTATAAGAGCTAGTGGACAAGCATAACTAATAATAAGTTTCCATGTCTTTGTTTGGGAGCTGGTTGGTGGCCCAAAGAAAGCCTGCTACAGTTCCTACATTTAGCTAGAGGTCAGACCATGGCTGTTTTCCTAGCTAGGCCAGTGCAATGTGGATTTCAGGCTAAGGGCCTGCAAGCATGACTAGATATGTGCAGAAGGTATATGATTAGAAAAATAACATGTGAACTGTCAGTAGGAGTTCCAGTAGGAAGCCTAGTCTACCCCGGCCTCTGCCTTCCACTCCAGTAACACTCAGTCAGGGAGTTCTTTCTCATTTTTCCTGGAGTTAATGATCATCTCCCATCACACTCTTTACTGAATGCATTCTTCCATTTTATTTTAATTGTCTGGAATATAATTGCCCCACATTTCAGTTATCCCCACTTCTATTTTTAACATTTTGTTACTTCGCACTTATTTCTTTCTTTTCTTTTTTTTCTTTTCTTTTTATTTTTTTGCTACATAAAGTCCCATTTTATTTTTCCAAGGTGTTTTTCTTCTGTCTTCATGAAACCATATCTTTACCTGGGCTTTGGTGGAGGCTGTGGTGCAGCACCAGCAGGTCTAAATCATGGTGGGGGTGTTTGGTCCCTCTGGGCTTCCCGAGATCGATTCCTGACTACTTTGCTATGACTAGCACAGCTCCCAGAGTAATGCAGCTTGACATAGAGTTTGGGAGGCACGTAAGCGTCTAAGACACTTGCTTCAGATTTGTCCCTGACAGCAGCGGCCTCTCCAATGTTCCAAATGACTGACTTCTTAATGGCCTTATCCTTGGGGATGCACCGGGAGCAGTTCATGCAGCGAATTGGCTGCACATAGCCGTGGCCTTTTTTGGAATGTCCATTTTTCGTCATCTTGGAGCCAAGACCAGAAAGAGCTTCGAATTTCTTTTGTAAAGAGCTTAAATATAGACACATCCTCTTCAATAGCCTGAATAGCCATATTCACTTTAAAATCTGAGTTCTTCTAGTCTCAACTGCCACTCAAGGCATGCCACGGCCCAGCTGGTAGATGGACATTCTAGTCAAGTTCAAGGCTGAACACAGCTGCAAGGGTTTGGCCTTGGAAATTCTAAGCCGCAACTTCGGTTGCTAAAGACCAAATTTGGCCTGTCTACTAGATCAGCCACCAAGATGAGGGTCATTGCTATATTTTCACCGTCTCTGGGACAAAATGAGCCTGCCCAGCCTCTTGCAGAACGAATCACAGAAGTCGCTGTCTCTCAGACAAGGACGGGTTGGGTCCTCGAAAGCCTGCTAAGGAATCCGACCTAATTTGTTGAAACAAGAATCTAACAAACATAAAATTGCTGGCAGATGTGCTCCTGTCATCCTCAGAATTCCTCCTGAATCCCTACAAGCCAAGGAGGGGGTGTGTTTCCTCGTGTGCATACGCCCCCAACATGGATAAGGCTGACCAAGTCAATTCGAAAGTTGGGTCACAAATACACAATATGGCTTAATTTTACCATAGGGACATAGGGTTTCTGGTTGTAGATATCTAAGGACAAGCATTGTAGGTATAGCACTCAGGCATCTATTGTGGGTTTTTACTCACTCATGTCAGGTACAGAGCCAGGCACAAATGTTTTGTGGACATTTGTTGGTTGAATGAATGAATGAAAAGCTCTTCACAGTCTGACTCACACTCCTTTCCAGACATGGTTCCTGTTGCCCTTCTTCCCAAACACTTCTAATTTATATCCCAGCAAAATAACTGTTGTTTCTTAAAACTTGCTTTGCCTTTGCTGTTATGGTACTCACTACCTGGGATGTTCTTTCCTCATACCCCATGACCTAGACTATGAATGTTTTAGTGTGTGGTGGTTGAATAAGAATGGCCCTTATAAGGCACATATATTTGAAGGGGCTCTCTAACAGGCCTAGGCATTGCAACATGGTACCGACTGGCTTTGCCCACTGCACTCTCCTCTCCCTTGCTAAACCATTAGATTGCATTCTTAAAGCTGGCCACCAATGTCTATTGCCTTATTTCGTCACTTTCTTGTGCCTGATTAAAACACCGAGGTCCAGCAATCAATTCATTAACTGGCTCCACTGGCTAGCTGGTCCAATCAGGACTTACCTACTCATCCTAGCACAGACTACCCCACCCCCTTTTTTTTTCTCCTTAAAAACCCACTCCACAGAGCCACTTGCTGCTGTCTTTGCCCAATCTAGAGGCAAGTGATTCTCCCAACCCCACCGGCTTGTCCCTCCAGGGAATAAATCTCCTTTGTGCCAAGAAGTTGGTGTCTGGCTGTGTCCTGTGCCAACTCCAAGGTCCCTTCACATCTGAATTCTTAGTCATCAAGGAAGAGCACTGTAGGCGGGACCACAATCAGCTCTGTGATCCACCAACAGCTTCCCAAATAACCACAAAGAGGCTTAATATTAATTATAACTGTTCGGCCAGTTGCTCAGGTTTATTACTACCCAGCTCTTACAACTTAAACAAAACCATTTCTAATCATCTATGTGCTGCCCCGAGGTTCGTGGCTTTTGCCTCTCCTGCATGCCCTGCTTCCTCTCCATCTGGCTCAAGACTCCTATCACTCTGCACTCCTTCTTCCCAGCATTCTCTCTGCCCAGAAAAATCCTGCCTAGCCATTGGACAATCGGCTTTTTATTAATAATGAGAGCAACACATTCTCACAGTGTACAGAAGAATTATTCCACAGCAAGGTCCTACTTAGAAGAATTAGGAAGTATGGCCATGTTGGAGGAGGTGTGTCACTGGGGGTGGACTTTGAGGTTTCAGAAGCCCAAGCCAGGCCCAGTGTGTCTCTCTCTTTCTGCTGCCTGTGGATCCAGATAGAGAACTCTGAGCTACCTCTCCAGCATCATGTCTGCCTGCATGCTGACATGCTCCCTGCCATGGGATGACAATGAACTGAACCTCTGAACTGTAAGCCAGCTCCAAGTAAGTGCTTTCCTTTATGAGTTGCCATGGTCATGGTGTCTCCTCACAGCAATAGAACACTAACTAAGGCGATGTGTTTTAGGCTTCACTGACAATGTGGCCTCCTTGTGAACATGTTTCTGACTGAATTAGATATGAGATGCCTCCTTCTTGGTGTATCCTAACTGAGATGCCTCCTTCTTGGTGTATCCTAAATGAGATGCCTCCTTCTTGGTGTACCTAGCCACATATCAGCCACTACTTCACAGTACAGTTATTACATATATATTACACATGCCACTTTATAGTACAGTTTCTCTGTGATTAACTTCTTCCCCCTCACTACACTGTGAGCTTCCTGAAATAGGCAATGGGTCTGATATCTCTAGCACTCCATAATTAGCTATGGGGGTCCTCATACCAATCTATAACCCAGCAAATACGTGTATCCTTCTGTTGTATATGTGAACCCTAAGTGTTGTTCTCATAGATAGATGTTACTTAAACTCAAGAACTAGTTTGGAAATAACACTTTGTCAACATTTTCTTTCCAATTAACTCTGCAGAGGGCTGGAGTGCCTGCTCATCAGGAGGCTCCCTCTGTGCCCTGTGGATGAGCTCAGGTTGGCCTCTTTTAGCAGCAGCAGCAGCCCCACTAAAATTCTCACCTTGTGCACTCAGAGAAACATCTCAGTATGTTTTCCCTAAGTATGGATGATTCATTAAATTCGGAATTCCTTCAAATATTCAGCCCTGCCAATCTTTCCTGCTTTACTAAAAGATGGGCCTTTCTGTTCATTCAGCCATTTGCATATGAACCAAAGGTCTGCACAGACTCTTAGGGGCTGTGTCTCCTGCATGTTGATACATCTCTTTGTAGAAATCCTTCCTCCTGACACTGATAAAAACCAAAGAGTCTCATCTGGTTTTTTTCTTTTTCTCAGTTAGCTAGCACCACCTGGGGCCCACATGCATGCATAGACACACACACACACACACACACACACACACAGAGAGAGAGAGAGAGAGAGAGAGAGAGAGAGAGAGAGAGAATACAAAATGCTCTAGAATTAAAGCTTAGATGAGTTATTGAAAAGCAGAAAAACCACAGCTTATTTCTTAAATGCCTAGCACTCTGTAATGGTCTTTTGTTTTGTTTTGTTTGTTTTTAAGACAGAGTCTTGTGTATTCCAGACTGGTCTGGCGTGGTTGACAATGACTTTGGACCTCTGACCCTCTGGCCTCCTGAGTGCTGAGAGAACAGGCCACCTCAATGAGTTTATGTGGCGTTGGGGATCAAAACTAAGTCTTCTTGCCTCCTAGGAAAGCTGTCTACCAGCTGAGCCTTAGATGCCCAGCCCTGGGATGGCTGATTTTGATTGTCAACTTGACAAGACCTGGGCTCCACTACACAGCTGTCATAGCTAAACTTTACTAGTCAACTTGAACTATCTGGGGAAAGGGAACTTCAGCTGAAGAATCGCCGGCTGTAGATGGCCTGTGGATGTGTCTGTGGGACATTTTCTTGGTTGATGATTGGTGAAGAAACCAGCCCATCGTGGGCAGTACTATCTGAAAGGTTCAGGCTTTAATGCTGATCGGCTCTACCTCTTTAAGAGACAGACCCCGCCCCGACAGCAGTCAGGGCACGCACAAGGACGTGCCATCACCATATCACCCACCATGCATTTACAGCCTGCGTGAGGACTCTGGGCATGCGTGGAACCTCAGGGTGCATGTGCAGTATTCCCTTTAAAAGTTCCAACTTCCCTGCTTCGCTCTCTCTGCTTCTTCTTCACTCTCTGCTCTTCTCTTCTCCCACCTACAAGCTTTCTCTGCCTTTCTATGGCAACTGGCCATGGCGGTCAGCCATTACCCCTGTTCCTCTTCTCTCTTAGTCTCCCTACTCTGTCAAGTCTATAATAAACTGGCTAATATGTCTCATCTTCAGTCTCCTCTTTTTTTATATCTAATTTAAACAAAAACATAACACTATCCCTATGTAAGTATATAAGAAAGCAGGGTGAGCATGAGTCAGAAGAAAACAAGCCAGCCAGCAGGTGTACCTCCACAGCCTCTGTTTCAGTTCCTGCCTCCAGGTTCCTTCTCCGGCTTCCCTTGATGGTGGACTACAAAGTGAAAGATAAAATAAACCCTTTCCTCCCCACACTGCTTTTGATCATGGCAATTGTTGCAGCAATGGAAAGCAAACCAGGATAGCAACACATCTCTAGAAAGATCTGTAAGGTCATTTCTAGGAAGGAAGAACTAAGTGATGACAGGCTCTCCCACAGCAGGAACAGTGCCTTCTAATAACCCAGGTGTAAAGACATAAGAGGGAAAAGCAGTGATGCTTTGTGTTAGACCCTGGAAAACTCTCACCTCCGGGGTCTCAGCCCAGGACTTCAGTCACCCCAATCACCAGGCAGATTCGAAAGCTTGATGCAAACAGCATGAGGCTTTATTGTTTAACGAGCTAACTCCATGTTAGCTCGGGTCTTTCACCCACCCGCCAAGGTGGATGGCTAGCA